TCATTTTTTTCTTCATGAATTACTGTATCACTTCTTAAACCTTTTGCTTTTTCTTCCACTATTAAACCTACATGTGTTTCTTCATTTGTTAATTCGTTCTTTTTATTTTTGATGTTCATATAAAAATTTTTGTCCATATCATATTGATTCAAAATATTATTCCCTGTGTTCTCTACATTCTTTTTATTATCATTATTTTTAATATTATTATTTAATTCATTTTTATAAGAACAGGTTTTATTATCAATATAAATGCTTTCATTCTCTTCTAATTCGTTGTTCAAATCATTTTTTTTTTTTGTTTCATAATTCTTATTTTTTTTTTTTTTTTTAAATATATAATTATACATAAAATAAAAAATCATATTTAATATTTCCTGTTCAGAATAATTATCTATATTAGTATCTTCATACTCATTAAAAAGAAAATTTTCATTTTTGTTACTCTTTCTAGGATTTTTTGAAAATGAATTGTTGAAATTTGTATTCTTTGTACTTTCATAATTTTTTACATTATTACATAACAACTGATATGCGTTTTTTCTTTTTTCATTTATGTTTATATTATTATTTGTATTCTCTAAAGTACAATAAGTTTTCTGTTTTTTTTTTTTTTTGTAATTATATTGACTTCTTGAGGAATTCAAAGATAAAACTGCTTGTCCTTCTTCTATTCCATTTTTTAATTCATTAACTGAAAAATCTTCATTTTTATTAAATTTTGATATTTTTTTCAAATAAATATTGAAATAATAATTTCTATATGCACATATTAATAAATGTAAATATTTAAAAGGAAAATTATAAAATGCCTTTTCTTCTTCTAGCTTATTTTCAATCAAAATGTTCATTTCAAAATCTTCCATTATTTACACTTAAAATATTAAATCAAATATATCTTTTAAAAGTTGAAAAAAAAAAAAAAAAAAAAAAAAAAAATTATATATGTATATATTTCTGAAAAAAAAGTAAAAATTAAAAATAAAAAAAAAAAAAATTCTCCAATATAATTTAATTTAATTAATAAATACACATTATATATATATATATATATATATATATGATATAATTTACAAAAAAAAAAAAAAAATATCATATGTAAATAAACATAAAAACAAATTTTTAAATAAAAATGATTACTTATTTTTTTAAATAATTAAACACTTATAATTTTATATACTCTTTAAATAAAAATTATAAATGCATAAAAAAAAATTATGTATAAAAAAAAAAAAAATCCTAGGAATATTCTTAAATAATAATAATATATATATATATATAATTTATCTTTCAAAAAAAAAAAAAAAAATAATAAAAATTAAAATTAATATGTGTATATATATATATTAATGTATAACAAATTTTTTAAAATTTGTGTATTTCATATATATATAAAAGAATAAAATATAATCTGAAATAAAAAAAAAAAAAAAAAAAAAAAAAATAATAATTATGATAAATATTATATTTACATTTCTATGTGTTTATTAACATTTATCTATTTTAAAGATTAATATATTTATTTATGTAATATGTGTAAATAAAATTATAACTTATTCATATATGTTCTACAATTCTAAAGAATATATTAAAACAAAATTTTATTAATCATTATTTTATATACATTTTTTCCCATTTTAAAGTATTACATTTTTTTTTCATTTCATTTTTAATTTATCCAAAGTATTATTAATTCAAATATAAAAATAAAAAAGAGTATAAAAAAAAAGAAAAAATAAGATAAATTCATACATATTAATGAATGTATTTTAGAAAAAAAAAAAAAAAAAAAAATTTTTTTTTTTTTCAAATTTAATTATTGATGGTATAATCATATATATATATATATATGTATATAAAACTACCCACAAAATTTTTATTATTTAAAATTCCCATAAATATATAAAATGAAAACATATAAAAATATCTATAATGTTACTCTATCATTTTTAAATATCAAAGGAAAAATAAAATAAAAGAAAGTTGTTATGGAATATATGTAATAAATATAAACTCTTACTATCTTATTTATTTTTAGAATTGTTAACTTTATATATTTCCGTAATTTTTTATTTAACATTATTTCATTGACATATATATATAATTATTTATATACTAAACTTTTTATTTTTCTCTTAATTATTATAACTAATTATTATGTTAAAATTTTACTATAAAGACACATATTTAATTATGAAAAGAGAATAATAATATTAACGATAAAATTAAATAATTAAATTTTTAATACATATATATAAATATATATATATATATATAATTATAACACTTAAAAAGTACTGTAATTTTCTTTTTTATTTATTTTTTTTTTTTGTAAAAAATATTATGAATGAAATAAATATAAGTTTCCATTATATATATATAAATTTATATTTAGTACTAATATATAAATATTTATATATTTATAAAAATAAATATAATGAATTAAAATATATATATATATATATATATATATTTATAACTTATTATAGAAGAAAATCAATAGTATTTAAAAAAAATATCTATTCATTATAAATAGAAAAAAAAAAAAAAAAAAAAAANTAAAAAAAAAAAAAAAAAAAAAAAAAAAAAATACATAAATATATAAATAATTTTATATTTATATAAAACTCATAAAATTTCTACTAAAAATAAAAATGTGAAATATAAAATATGAAATGATAATAAAAAAGAAAACAATACACATTTATTACTTTATAAATGCAAAATATTTTTAAGATAAAAAATCTTATATATATATGGATATTGCATATAAAAAAAAAATTTTTCTTTTATAGAATATCTATAATCTATAAAAAATAATACGTATTTTTGGTAAATAATAACCAAAATGAAAAGAAAAAACAAAAAAAAAATATATATATATATATATATATATATATATATATATATATATATAATATATGGATAAATTAAGAAATAATCGGAAAATTAATACAATATAAAAAAAAATTTTTACTCTTTATACTTTTTTTTTTTTAAGTATGTTAATATTTTATATAAAAGTATCAATATAATACAAAATTTTTCAAA